TAGTACATTTTGCTGAAATACCTGTAAACACTTTATTGAAAATAAACTGGTGGTAAATTGAAAAACATATTAAGTACCTCTGTAACTATTAAACATAAAAAACTTTTTCAACTGTTACCAATATATAAGCTTCACTTAAAGGGTACTTTAGGTCTGCCTTTATTTCAGATAATAGTTTTTAATGCAGATTTTTAAAAGCCAGCATGTGTTACATTCTCACAGATAACTAATTAAGTCATAAATGCATTCTAAGGTCATAGTATAGCACAGTAGGTACATTAAGATGAAATACTACTTTCATAAGGAAATATTCCATCTCCTGTGAATTATACACACAGGATGGATTGTGATTTGGCAATTTAGAGGAGCTTTCTAATTATCTGGAAACTATCTTCTTACCTGTTTTGCCTGTATAGCTAGATTCATCAAATATTTTATTTTACCTGGCACTGCTAATTAAAGAGCTCCATAAGTGCTATAAGTATAAACACAAACTCTGTTACATTATACTATTTGTCACTTTATTGTGAAAAAGAATACTTTGCCATGAAAATTTTGCTCCTCATTCATGAAATAAATATAAAGATTTTACGTTTCCTTCTCCCTATGGTGCTAATAAAAAAAATAAGCAAATATTTTATCTGATCTCCTGTATTTTTGAACTTTTACAAGAAAACTCCCCTCAAAATGTGAACAGATAATACTCAAACCACAATTAACAATCTCTGTTTTGTACAAACGTTCTGAACCAAGATATGAGCCCACTCTTGCCAATACTTACACTGAAAAAAGTATTTATCACTGATTCTCATTTCATGATGTTAGATATCCCTGGTTTTCAAAAAGAAAAATCTAAACATATTCATTTAGAAAAAGAGGAAGCTGCAGATAATTATGTTAAACAAATAAGATTTTTAAAAATAAGCCCAAAACAATTCTGCTCTCTCATGGGCTCCTCTTGTGTTACTGTTGATAGACTTGGATATCTGCTGTTGGTGATTTTTGTTATATACACACAGAAGACAAGTAGTCTATAGCATTGCCCTTAAATTTGCCCTCAAGCTCACTGATTATAGAAATGAATAAATGGAATCAAGTTCTCTCTTAGGACTCAAAAAAAAAATTAGAAATCTTTGTAAGTGCCTTAAATCATCTGGCTTAAATGTTTACTTCCATTTTCAAATATTTTTTTATCTTTCATTCATTAAAGAAAAGAACTGTTCACCTGTTTTGTGTTCAAACTTAATCATTATCTTGCAAATGTTTGTGCCTCCACCTTTACCCACTCTATAACCTAATCCTCAGACATTTCAAGTATCATCAGCTATTCCTAACAGGTCACTCATAAAAGCCAGATTGTGTCTCTAAAACGTATATTTCCAGAATTTCTATTTCTGCTTATTATTTGAGTGGTCCATAGTGTAACAGTTTTTAAATTCATAAAACAATAAGAGAAAGAAATATCCTCCCCAAAATACCCTATATGAATTCAATCCGAGTCTCGAATAACTTGCATGGAAAAGTGAATTCACATTGGGATAAGTTATTCTATACGTGATTCAATATGGTATTACGTCTGGATTCATCATTCATATCTTCAGGGGTATAGTAACAGAGAAAAATATATTTGTTCTTATCCAGCTAAGCTGGTAGCCTCATGATTGGAGGTTTCTGTGATGAGTAGAAACTTAATAAATATTTGTTAAGTAATATGCCAAACAGAAACATTACTGATTTTCTTTGAGGTTGTATAGATATGTTACTGTTGTTTCAAAATGGAATTAGTTAAAAGCTTGGTAAATAGTGAAGTATATTTTAATAGGAAGGAGTAGGGAATATTTTTTTAGTTAGGCTATTGGCCAAAAGAAAACAAGATAATCAAGAGTCATCTAATTTCTGGTTTTGCTATCTTTTTTAAAAGAACATAAAATTTCCACTTGTCCTTTTAGAAAAGAGGAATAAAATTAGTCTGACACAACCATTTTGACTATTTGAGTGGGGATAAATGAAATCGTCAGCTACAAAGGAGAAATGTAGCAATTGAGAATTGAACATAGACAGATAAAGCCCAATGGAAACATAAAGGGAGAAAAAGGGAAAGAGTGTTGAGAATCTGAAAAAGACTTGCAAAAAAGTTAAAGACACATAAACATGAGATTCATGGAAGTTAAAGATAGACTTTCATGGACCGGTATCATGAAGTAAATTTTTGTGTCTTCGAGATTTTACATAGAGTAGCCTTATACCAGCAGTCCTTTGTGCAATTGCCTCTGACCCACCTGATGGCCATTGTATTTATACTTTAGATTCATAATGCACACACCAAGACATACAGTAGAATTGAATCCAGGAGTATTTTTGTAGTTGTTCCGTTTGCCTCAAAAATAAACAGGCACTATTTAACACTATGTAAAAACATAACTTTAAAGAATGTAGTTAAACAGTTGGTAAATACCAAGGCCTCTTTTTTAAAATTTATTTTATTTTAAAGATGTGGGGTACAATTCAGGATTAAGTATACAAGTGGTCATTGTAAGTAAAGCTTGGGCCTACCTCTGGTCCCCACTTTGCCTGGTTTGAGATCAGGTACCTTTATTAATGTTATGCCCCCCCCGCCCCCGGCAGTTTCTGGTTACTGCCAATCCCTTTCTTATAGTATTATAGTAAATGTTCAGGGTCCACTTATGAGTGAGAACAGATGATACTCAGATCTTTGTTTCTGTGATAAATCACTGAGTATTAGAGATCTCTTTCATTTTGCCATAATCTCAGTAGACCAAGATATTTCCATTCCTCAGCAAAAATCCTTGAAATTGTTTGAGCTATGTGATACAATGTTATACTGGTGATAGGACTACAAGTAAAATGCCTGTGAAGTCTGCAACTTCAGGGCTTCTGACTTAGAAACTATTTGTATATGATTGGTGTTACTCCAACCAGCCCTATCACTGAGAAGCCCATCCCAATGTTTGTGACTGGAGGTCTCAATCTGTAGTGAGCACAAGAATCACCTGGGTTGCTTGTCCAAAATACACATTTTTTAGTTCCGAACCCAGAAATTCTGATTCAGTAGATAAGGAGTAAGACCCAGAAATCTGTGTTTAACAAGCACACCTCAACAGCAGTTGTGAGACGCTGCCAGGGGAGGAAGGAAGGGAGGGGCATGACAACATAAAGGGTACCTGATCCTCAACCAGGGTAAGTGAGGACCACTTGCAGGCCCAAACTTCACCTGCACATACATTACTTATGTACCTCATTTTGACTTGTACCCCACATCTTTAAAATAAAGTGTTTTTTTAAAAAGCACCCGTCACCCCTGCCTCTACCCTTGAGATATTGTAGCTTGCTAGTATAACCACTACTAGTTGAAGAGATACCCTGTCCTAGGAAGTTATCTTCTCTTTTGCAAATATACATGGACTGATAACAAGCTATAGTCATTTTGAAATAGTAATTCTTTCCACCATTCTGTACTCTGGAAAGGAGCTAGATTGAGCAGATATTTCCAGTCGCTTGGAGTACAATTCAGCAATCCTGTAGAAATAATGTATTAAAATGTTACTAAGCATAACTTGATTACCAGAGCTCTAGTTCAACTTAGCATGAGTTAAATGGGCATTAGAGAATGTATACTAGAAATTTAGCCACTCATGTAACATTGTATCTGCTGGGCAAGAAGGATGTGTTCAAAACAATTTACAAAATGTTTGAATTGCATAGATAAATTAAAAACACTTTAAACTTAGAAATGACCTTGTGCCCAAGGTTAGATTGCCTCTGATTCTGCAGTTTGAAATTCCACGACCTTATGAAACAAAGTAGTAGAAGCTAGAGCTAGCAATCCAGTGTTATTATATTCTAAAAATAATAATAATAAGGTATTGTGTTTCGTTTCATTTGACTTACATATGGAGATTACTTAGATTCCATCCCCTTTTCTGCCAAAAAAAGTATGATATGATAGACAACAATGAGTTCTGCTGATTTCTGAACTATGCTGCATCTTGTTTTCTAGATACCAGTGCTTTGGGCAACATGTGTTTTTCCCTATTTTCTAAGGGAAGAAGTAATGACTAACATGCTTTCTCTACTCCCTCTCCCAATTTGTTCCTTCTTAATATAACTCAAAAAATACTACAGGATGTTGCAGATAAAAATCTACACCAGACTAGAGATTCAAAATGTTGCTGATTTTATGCCTGCTGAATCCAATATTTGGGTTCCTCACCATCCAAAATAAAATGAACTAAAAGAGACTGCAGTTTACTTTATCCAAATTGTTCTTAATTTCTCAGGTCATTCAGAAACGTCAGACCCTTCCAGTTTCTTAACTCCTTGCCATGTGGCTTATGATCATATGTAAAGTTATTATTTCATCACATGTCCTCTGTTACCGCCCTTCATTTCTCTGCATTTTATATTGTTCAGCATGCAGCCTCCTCATCGGAGTGATACTAGCTAGGCTTTCTAGTATCTCACCAATTAGGACGTGGTAGCATATATATCAGGGTAGTCAAATAGGCTCCTGATTTAAAGAGCAAAAAAAATTTTCTTTCTAATTCTTGATTGGATGAATTTGAGGAAAGAGCCTGTATAAAAATACACTTTAATTTTCTTGAAAAGCTGGTCATTTTACATGTGCATGGAGAATATTTTTAACATGAATTTTCTAATTAAAATTATAGATGTGCATATATAAGTGTAGAGGTGGGAAAAGATTTATCTACACTGTGTGTTATTATATATATTTGGAAGATTCACATTTCCAAACAACCAAGCTTAAAGCAAAAGGTGTCCCATTTATGGCCAAGTAGACTTGCATGCCAACAGAAAGACATTATGGTATTAAAACCATATGCAATTCTAGCCATATTTTTTTCTATTTTTTCTTCATGGGTATTGCATGATGGTATTTCTAATACAAATACTAATTTGCTTTGGAAATAATGGCACTCGCAGGTCTTTCATCATATTGTATCACTGCTTTATCATATTAGGCTAATACACTGCGAGAGTTGGTAGAACCTCTCCATGCCAAATCGGATCCACTTCTGTTGGCACTCAACCCATTGGACTCACAGATTGATAAGCTAATGTTTAGAGAATTTAGATCGGAGAGAGTCGGCACGGCGCAGACTCAACATCAACCTCTTGCAAGCAACTAAAATGGCCTCGTCCTTGCTGTTTATAACAGAAAACAGACTTGTAAAAAGCTTAGATCATCAAGTGTTTTGGATTGGGGGCCTCCCTAAAGGGATACTAAGAGGGGCAGGCCACTCTAAAGAAGAATGCGAGCTTTCTGCATTGGGACTAGCATAAGATCAAAGCCAATCAAGATGGAGCACAGTAACAGAAAACTGCGTTTCTGTGGGAGAACAGAAGGGGAAAGGGTCTTGACTGGGGAAGGGCTCTGTGTGGTGACACTTCAGTTGTGTTCTCCTGACACCAGGAAAAGAGAGGGATCAGCTCCAATAAATAGAAAATCCTGGCTGTTTAATGGACTCCGGTGGCCTCTTTAAGGCAAAGCAGAGGAAACAAATTCTGTATTAAGTGTATTTTGCATTTTTAAAATTGCCGTGCTGTATTGTACTAAATTAAGTGTACTCTATTAAGGCAAGGTATACACAACTTGCTTTGAAACATAATATGTTTATTCTATTATAAAGTGTATTCAGGTGCAACACAGAGACTGCTTTTGGTGACACTAATGAAGAAAATTCCTCATGCCAGGCTTTATTAGAATCCTCAGCTAAAATCCTAACTTTCTCCTTTTTTCTTGGCACTTGTATACAAGTGGTATTGCTTCTTAGGGCAGGCATGAGCTATTCTTCTCTGTAAAATATTTCATATCTATAGGCTGTGGTTTTCCTTTTTGAAAAAGTATTTTGTCTGGATGTCTTTCAAACTAGCTTCAGATATTATTTAATACTGTGTAACTGGGTCTCCTATGGCTCAATATTGCATATTTTTCTTCTGTAGTGGATGTGAAATTTCCTTTAGTTGAATAAGATACACTGTAATAATTCAATGCTAATTAATGGATATTTCATACTGTGCAATGAAGAGATGATTTAACACTGTATTTTGAAATGTTTTTTTCTTCCTGTCACCGCAGTGTGTGGTATTGCATAATGTGAATACCTGTAAAAATATAAATTACTTAAAAATAAAAATATGACCAATTGGTATTAGATCTTTTTAGATAGCTAAATAATTTGCTAAGTATGCTTGATAGTAAATATCTTTCTAAAGAGAAGTAGTCAACGCTTCTTTCTCACAAATGGAATTTGTGTTGTGAATAAAATCACATTGATCTGCCTTACAATTGCCTCTGTGCTCTAAACATTTTAATGTGTTTGTAAGTATATATAAAAAATGATGGTTCTGGTATGTAGAAATCCATCAAAAAGCATTTTATTGGCATTTAACATTTATAGAATTGTCTTGGGTCATTCTCCCTGTTTAAGTCAAAGTAAAATTTTATGATCTGAAGAATTTCAGATTTTTCTCATTAAAGAATATGGTGACTCCACATTAATGTTAAAATATAATCATCTCTTACCTTTGGTTTTAAACTATCACCTTTATGAATTCCTGCCTAAGAGCCAGGTCCCTTGACCTCCATGTCTCTGCCGATTGAATTTTCTAAATTCTGTGGGTAAACCTAGATTCTGTCATATACGTTTGTGATTGTCCTTCAAAGAACCTTTCCTTCTTTGGACTAATAAATCAATGCTAGGGACACCAAGATTTTGCCATGTGAACTACATTGTCATAAAAATTACTGTAGTGCCCTGAAAATTCGACCATCATCATATATCTGTATCATTAAACCACAAAATTTAGCAGAAATTACATGCTCAGAGAAAGAAGTATATAATAAACTTTAGTTGTATCTCTTTTGTCACATCCTTACGGAAGTAAGATTTACTGTTGCAAAGAAGGAATTGACAGACACATGTACTGGCCATACATGATTCTGGTGAAGCACATTGTCATTCTTACAAGATTGAGCTTTACATGTTCCTCTTTACACATAGCAATGTTGGTAGAGCCACCCAAACTGTCCTTTAAAAAGGAGGGATTTTGGCCGGGCTCGGTGGCTCAGCCTGTAATCCCGCGCCTTTGGGAGGCTGAGGTGAGTGGATTGCCTGAGCCCTTGGGTTCAAGACCCGCCTGGGCAGCGAGACCTCATCTCTACAATAAATCAAAACAAAATCAGCCGGGCGTGGTAGTGCATGCCTGTAATTCCAGCTACTCGGAAGGCTGAGGCGGAAGGATCGCCGGAGCCCAGCAGGTCGAGGCTGTGGTGGCCGGGAGCGGCCACTGCACTCCAGTCTGGGCGACCAAGTGAGACTCCAACTCAAAAAAAAAAACAAAAAAAAAAAGAGGAGGGATTTTTTTCTCACTAAAATATATTTTTTAATCAGATAAATTATTGCCCTATAGTAATGCTTAGGTATTGTTATTTTGCCTGATGAAAGTAAAAAAAGAAATTACCTCTAAGTAATTGATAAGTGGCAGGTAGTTGATTACAGAGGGAGGACTAAAAGCCAGCATTTCAATTCTTACATTTTTTTCTGCTAAACTGCCCTCCACACCCTCCCTCCTCAGTTTTATAATGCTAGGCATATCTAATTGACTTATATAAAAGCAGAAACTAAGAGAGCTAATGCTTAATTATAAAACAATTCAAATTATAATATAAACCCCTGAATACTTAATCATCTTTAGCATAAGACCTACAAAGACATTAAATCCCTTAAAAGTTTGTCACCTTACATATAAATAAGTTATTCATTATGGCATGCCAGTAAATTAGTGTTCATAGAAAATATTCCTGTGGTTTCAATGCAAATGTTAATTGCCCTTTGTGACAAGAATAGTGTTTCATATACTTGATATCATTAGCCTGGAAACATTAAAACACTCTGCAGTTGTACAAGAACGAATGTCTCTCAAATTTGATTGGTGACTAATGCTACTATGTCCAGCCTTCTCTCCCATTTATGAGTAAATCTTTTCCAAACTTCTGGCCTTATTACACAGCTGTGTTGTGGAAGGAACAACTGTTTCCTCGAGGACATCATTGTCCAATTTTAAAAGAGCACAGTTCCCTCCCAAAATATGTACCAGAACTTACTGTCCATCATTGGTTTAGTTCTGCAAGAGCCCAACTGCTATACTCATATGTTTTGTTTTCATTTTTTACTCTCCTTCAATATTGTCATCACAGGGTTGGGGAACTGGGAAGGATATTAGAGTAAGATTCTAGGTCACCAAGTTTTTATTCTTCTTAATTTTCACCACGGGAACATGAATGATGTTACAAAACAGATTGTCCTAGTAATTACACAGTCACCTGATAGGGAATCTCTTTGGATACTTTGTATATAAAGTAGAGAAAACCATCACTTTGTTTGAACACATTGGGTGCATGAGGCACTGTGCCAGGTAGAAGAATGGGAAGTGCAAATTTGAGACGAATTCCACTCATGGGAAAGTCACAGTCTAGGTCTTCGAAGGAGGGCACATGGGTCCATTAAGGTACAGGAAGAAAAAACATTGGAATTTCTCCTTGGGTTTTATATCTCTTTTGAATTTATTTTCTGTGTATGTTTTACAACATCTGTCTATTAATGTAGAATAAGACATGTATATAAGCTTCTGTTCTATAATGCAAAAGTGTTTTAACTTATCAGGGTGCACAATCAAAAAAAAGTTTGGAAACCACTGAACCTGAATGTAAAGAAATACGTCAGTCAAAGATTTTTTTGGTATTTGAAAAATACATTATCATCTTCTTATACGCAATTTGCAAGAGATTCTAACAAACTAGTATTTTTCATTAGCTAATCTTTTCTTTGAACTTTTCTTTATCACTTACGACCCAGAGGTCACATGCAACCTGAAAAAAGCAAACAATGAACTGTTGTGATATTCTCTACATTCCTAGATTCGTACTATTTCATAGTGGAGCAGAATATAAATGAGACAATAAAGAGGACCTCTTTTCACCCTGCCAAGTATGGCACACCCAGAAATGACCCTCCCTGGCACACAATACAAGTTAATTCATCAATAACTTAATTGTGATCCTCAAATCTATCAGTCAATGAAATTTTATATAGAAAAGGGAACTTTGTATGCACTCTTTGCTTTAATAAAACTGGAATAAAAGCTATGTAATCTGGTAAAGGACTAATTTGCATATTATAAACATAAATATAATTTTGAGGGAAATTTATTTCTGCATGGGTCCAGATTTCCTGAATAAATTACATACAGATTAAAATTTCATTATAGCAGTGATACACTTCCTTATTAGGAATCACGGAAGGTTCCTATGTATGTCCTGTGATTTGAACGTGGTCTCTACACTTTGCCAGCTTTCAGAAAACATTCATTCAAATTGCAAAAGAGCTGGTTTTTAGCCAGTGTTCCAATGGCTGAACTGGCATGTTGAAAGAAAATCAATCAGGAAGCAGACCTCACCAAGTGCTTGCCTCCTTTTCCAAAGCAAGCCTCTTCTAAAGGAAGAAAAAGCAAGGGTTGAAAACAGAAGCCTGAAGAGAAGTGAGAAGGAGATGAAGAGGAGGGCAAAAAGAGAAGAAAAGAAAGGTGCTTTCATATTTTCAGTTGCAACAGTAGCTCAAATTGACTTAATTGGTATTCATCTGAGAAAAATCAAGGAAACCAATTGAAATTATAAAAGAAAATAAAGGTCTGTTTTTGTCTTGAATGTTGAGTTCTGTGTTGTTTTGACTGTTGAGCACAGTGAATCAGACTTATAATGTGACTCTGCCCCTCACCCCCCTCTTTCGAAAATAAAATGACTCTTTGTCTAGTCTTAAAATGTTAAGTAATCGATGGCATTTTGTGGTAGCCTGGCATCTCAGTCTCTCATCCTTACTCATCCCACTGCTGTGTCTTGTGCAGTGTTGCATATGTATATGATGTGGAGGGGATTGTGGTCGGGGGGGGCGGGCTTACTTATCTCTGATAGAAACCACAAGAACCCATTACTATACTTGGAAATGTTTCTGTGTTCCGTCTCATTGTGATTGCTTGTTCACATGTGCTGCTCAGAGATAAATTCATACTCAGTTCTTCTTACAGCTGTCATACTTACAGATTCTTTGCACAACTATGTTGTCTTTTGATTGAATGCTTTTCTCCCCTGTAACAGCAAGAAGGGGGGAAATTTTTCAGTGTTTATTGTTTAACAGCTGTGTATGTCACTTTTTATATTGAATACTCACTCTTCCTTCTTAAAGTAAAATTACATTGAAATGTTATAAAAATAAATCATCTGCCCAGTATTTCACAAACTTTAAGGATTGAGGGAAAAGAAAACTGGGTTAAAAATGTTTTAAACAAAATATATATTCCCTATAGTGTTAGGTAACATGGAGGAAGTTTCTCTTAAAATAAAAATTTACTATGTAAAAATACTTCTGCCTCCCTTAAATCCTAAAACTATTATCTGAATCCCTTTTTTCCTTCATATTCTTTCTAGAGCTGAAAAAGTAATAATAGATTAAGCTACCTGATACCTTAACTACTATAATTCACATCTGTTAGGACTCCCATTTCCACCTTACCCTTTGCTCTATGAAATTACGTCTGGCTTTAGATGCAGTATTGCCTTGAGGTAAAAAGAATGCCATAACTACTAAATAATTTCTTGAGGTCTTTTTCCTGGCCTACCATTTTCTGAAATGGAATTATGCTGTTCAAATATGCTTGTTTTCACAACTCTATTTAGTTACTCTGAATGATCATATAATTTTGTGCCGTCCTCATTCCAAACTATTCTGAGTTAAAATTCCCTATCTTGCTTCCATCTTGCTTTTAGTCTTTCGTCCCCCATTCCTCAAAATCCTCTAGGTGTCAAAAACATATGAGGATGAGCCAATAGAGAATTAAAAAGCAGTTATTTAAAGAGATTTTTGGATTTTTCTATTATAGTTCTAACTTATGTGGGTAGGAAATTAAAATCCATATAAAGGACTTAGTGATAGCATGTACTGATTAAAACAAATAATTTTTTAATAGAAGGATTCAGTGATCATAACTGCCATTAGTTGCTAACAATCTCAGTAGCAGAGCCAAAAGTTAAATATGGAATTTAAATAAAGTTTTTTTGTAATCTTAAAGGTGATCCCATCAGGTAAAAGTACTGTATGTTTTGGGCTTTTTCAGAGCAGTTTTAGATATACTCATTTTTTTAAATTTTTGAATGTTACATTTTAAGGGAGTCTCACATCTATTTGCATCTACTGCTAAAAACATGGTTTAAAAAATTACTGAAAAAATTGGCAGTAGAATTCTTGTTAAAATTATAGATTCAGAGGCCAGACTGCCCAGTTGGAATTCTAGCTCCACCACTTACTAAGTGTGACCTTCAGCAAGGTACTTCCCTGCTATAAAATTAAGATCAAATAGATCTGCTCTTAGTACTGTTGTGAGGATTAAATGAGATCATGAATGTTAAGCATTTACCCTACTGCCTGGCACATCTAAATGTTAAATAGTAGTATTACCAATTAGGGAATCTTTTTTTGTAACTGTCAGAAATCCTAAAATATTCACATGGACAATGGTGGAATGAACAACATTACATGTTTACTCCTTGAGCCAATATAATTACTTAAATATGATTCTGGCTAGTTAGTAAAAGAAACATGATACAGCTCTAATTCAGTCTAATATTCCAAGCAAAATCCTAGTTCATCTGTGTTTATCATTATTGAGAAAGATATGACGCTAGTATCCAGGCAATTAAAAAACAAGATGAGAGTTTTATTTGTTCAGCTAGATCTAAGATCCTTATTGAACTAGTCTCTAATTTTTTTTCAAAAATATTTAATTGGAGTATTTTTTTCACAGGTCTTACAAATGCTAAGCAGCTACTCTTAGTATGTACCGCATTTCCCCCTATATTTGCATATAAACATATTCCCATATTTAATCTTCATTAAGACATTATTGATAATTTATGATAAATCACTACAATATGCAAAGCATTACTATAGCATTCACATGAAACCTAATAATCTATGGCACAACTGGAAGATTTTTATGATCAAATATACTCCAGAAAATGCCATTCCATCTTATGAAGTCTGTAAAAATGTAAAAATCAGTTCATTCAGTATTGCTAAACTGGGAACACTCTATTAATCACCATTTTTATGCTTATCAGTATAATGATAAGGGATATTCATTAATATTTTAAAATAAATTGTGTGCAGGATTGTTTCTATGTTGTGTACATTTTGTACTCTAATTCTTTGAACTTAATGGACTCAAGATATATAGGATGATTTGCTACCCAGAGAATATTTGGTTAACCAAATAATTCTATTATTTGATCGTTCTAAAACAATCAGCTGACTATCGTTAATGTTACCCAATGTAACCAGCAGCAGTGGGTTTTTGTTGTTGTTTTTTAATAATAGTGTTTTCAGTCATTCATTATCCTGTTTTCAGATAGTTCTGATTTTTAGTAGGTTTTTGGGGTGTCAAATAACTGTTTATTACAATGGATTCATCTCTCTCTCTCTCTCTCTCTCTCTCTCTCTCTCTCTCTCTCTTTGAACATTGCAGGTGAAAGAGAAGAAATATTAGGAGACTCATTGCAAGATTTATACAGGGCACTGGAGCAAGCCAGTCTGTCACCGCTAGGAGAGCATCGTATTTCAACCAAGATGGAATATAAGCTATCATTTATAAAAAGATGTAAAGATCCAGTAATGAATGAAAAACTACACAGGCTGAGAATTCTCAAAAGCACTTTAAAGGTAAGATATTAAATGGAAGAAGAAATTTTTTTGGAAGAGATTTATTCTTGAACTCAAAGTGGATTACCAGATACTATAGGTTAAGAAATACAAAATGTGAGTGGATTGCCTGAGCCCACGGATTCGAGACCCACCTGGGCAACTTGGCGAGACTTCATCTCTACAATAAATCAAAAAATTAGCTGGGTGTGATAGCGCGCGTCTGTAGTTCCAGCTACTGGGAAGGCTGAGGGGGAAGGATTGCTGGAGCCCAGCAGGTGGAGGTTGCGACAGTCTGGGCGACAGAGTGAGATTCCAACTCAAAAAAAAAAGAAATACAAAATGAGGACTGGGGAGAGGAAGAGGTAAACAGGAAGTGCCTGGAGTTGGGCTGTTTCTATGTCATAATAAGTGTATTGGTAGAGGAGATTATCTTAACTTTTCATTAACGTCTCAAAGCACTGATTAAATGTTACATGACTTAGTTCTAGGAAAAAACAGGATGTGATTAACTTTTTTTTCGCCAACAATGCAAGGCTGGTGTTATTTCTCAGTCTTTCAATTTCCTAAAATAAATATACCGTGTAGTGTAATTATTAGCAGTATTAAAAGAACACAGCATGCGTGCAGAATGCAATAGTAGGTGCTGAAAGAGTGTGAGGTATTCGTTGTTTCCCACATGAACTACAGCGCACTTGGAGTGAAGCCATGGTGATTCAGGCTCCATGTAGACATTTTAGAATTGTTCTGTTTATGTGATCAGCTCCCAACTTCCATGTTACTTTTGTATTAGACATTTCTGTAAGTGCTCACATTGTCCCCAATCTCCTTAGATGGAAATATTGGGGAGGAGGTGGTGAGGACAGGGGAGTAGAGAGGCAGGAGATTGAAGAAAGAAGCTGACAAATGAGCCCCTCTCACCATGTGGAGGGAGGCTGAAAGAGAGGGCCTACCACTACCTGAGCAGGCTCTGCACCCTTAACAAAATCAAAACCAGAAAAGAACTATCATACAGTGCACACACCACAGTAAGTTCAAGAAACAAAAGGTCAAAGAGCTCCTTTGGGAAATGTTTCAGATCTATAGCATGCTACGGAGATTTTAAAATTTCAAAATACAGGTGAGTACCAAAGAGATAAACAAAATAGAAATTCAGTGATTTGAAAATATTTCAAGTACCAAGCACCCAAGTTTGCAGAGGCAATTTAGCTTTTAATCGGTAGTCATGCAAATACTACTGCAAATCCAGGGGACAGTGTAATGGACTTTTGGTAACTAAGACCAGCATTTTTGAGAGTGCTATAAAATGCATAAGAATAATTCCAGCAACCAACCCTACTCCAAAGATATCCTCAACCTCCCACCTTATCGAGCCTCTCCCTTTCCCCCATTCAGTTCTAAACTGCTTGACTTAGAAGACAGACAAGCAGGCATTTTAAAACAGGTCAGGCTCATAGATCTTAAAGCCCTACTTCTCTTCCTTTATCTTGAAGCCCTTTGCCCCTTGCCCCTGTCTTTTATGCTTTGTAGATTCCCTCAAAACATTTTCTTCCAGTGACAGAAATACGAGCTACTGCTGTTGTGCAATTCAATAAGTATTGATGAATCATAAGGTACATGATGCTGTGCTCAACTCTCTGGGGTAAAGAAAGATAATGAAAAATACACTGTAAAAAAAAATCCCTCATTGATACAAATGTACTATAGAACCCTATACTTTTGCTGTGGAAAATTAAACGGGACTAAAATCTTCCATTAGAGAAGAACAACTGACCAAGCAACCCTGGATGTGTCTAGTTCCTAGAATTTGAACACACCTCCTCACCAAGCACAGATCTCAGATTCCACCTCAGGCAACTCTCAACATCCTCAGTTCCAGCCCTCTTCCATATTGTCTGGTCTCGCTGACCAGAACAACTTCTTAGGCACCTTGCTCTCTTCTTTCCCTCCCAACTGTAGCTGGCCCAGAGGCGTGCCTTCTCACTTCCTGTAAACATGTACTTCCCTAACCCTTCCATGGGTCCTTAAAAGGCAGGATTGAGCTTCACAAACTGTCTTAGCCTCGTCTCCTCTGTCCCCTTCCACCTGGAAAAGTCTCTCCTTCCACAAGTGATAGTTGTACCTTGGTGACTTACCAAAATGAAGCTTAGTCTTCAGCTGAAACCCAGCCTCCAACATGGAAGGGGGAGCCATTCCTCATTACAGGCCCCTAGTGCCATAGTAAGGGAGCCATAACATTTACACAACAAGAATTATTTATTTGTGGTAACATGTGGGCCATGCTCACTCTCATTCAAGCACGAGAAGTTTACTATATAGCAAGAGAGATAGTACAGATTCTGAAGCAGCCCAGAAGATAGAATGTGGTAGTCCACTCAGTGACGGTGATGTAGTAGTATAGGGACACAAATGAGGGAGAGAAAACCTTTTTTCCTAGTGCTTATGGAAGTCTTCAAGAAATGAGAGGCTTTTAAACTGGATCTTAAAGAATGAGGAAGGTTTCCATAGGCAGAGATGGGCAACAGCACAGGCCAAGAGAAACAAAAACCACAGAGAATGGGCAAAACAAGGCATTCCTCAGGTGTAGAAAAAGGTACACTAGGATTTCAGTCCAGAGCAGAGTGTGAGTATACCAACCAGAGCCCCTTCTTATGGGCTTCTCAATTTTAATTTTTTGCCTATTAACTTTTTATTTTCAACTTGGATAAAAGTTTGTCTCCATCTTAACTGTTGATTCCTTTTGCTTTTCAGGCTAGAGAAGGGGAAGTAGCCATTATTGACAAAGTCCTAGATAATCCAGACTTGACATCTAAGGAATTCCAACAATGGAAGCAGATGTACCTCGACCTTTTCTTGGATATCTGTCAAAATACCACCTCAAATGACCCACTAAGTATTTCTTCTGAAGTAGATGTAATCACTTCCTCTCTAACACACACTCATTCATACATTGAAACGCATGTGTAAGTGTATTTTGACTTCAGGCTATCTAGTACCTGCTGGTACCCTGAACAAGTATATAAGGTAGTTTTTATATCAATGTGTGGGACACTTGACAAGCTATACTTTAATGTTACCAAACTATCTGAAACAAACCATATATGGTCACAATACCACTATCTTTAATGAGCATTTGCATATTTTATATGCAGTCAGTGCTCAGCTTATGTTTACCATGTGCAAAATCAACTATCTTTAATGACTTAAAATTAACTTTTGCAAACAATCTGAATACAGGTGGTCTTCAAGTAGTAAAACCACAAAAAGGCAGTTTTCTATCTAAGGTCATCTTTTCTCCCTTTAAGTTAATTTTATATAAACAAGACTTCAAAAGTAAATCACATTTTTTCAGATGCAGACATCCTGTGGGTGGGAAAGAATTTAAACCTTTTTTATATTTATTAAAATGTTCTAAGAATTTTCTTAAACATTGCACAAAGTTTAATGCTGTAGTTTTATTTTTGTGAAATGTAGATGCGCATACAAGAGCTAAGCAAAATAGAAGAGCATCGAAATAAGAAAAGTTCAGGTATCTAATATTCGTCTTAATAGTCTATTAACTTGTGAAAGCTAGTTAATGGAAATACTATTCCAAATCTATGAGAACACTTAATGGTGTATCAGGGCAAAGCTTTGTAAGATGTTTTTGTAACTAAGAACAAAATTGAAGATAGAGCTGCTTTATTTTCTTGGTTTAAATCTTCCTTTATTTTTGTAGTGATGAAATGCTGATTGTGTACAGAAGAATTTGAGAATGGATTTTTTAAAACAGACTTAACTCACCCAGAAAGGCAGCTAATAGCTATATATATATAATTTCAGCCCAAACTCATGTTTTTAAACACCAATTCTTAAAAGACAAGGTATAAACTTGAAATGAATGAACTTTTCAGTTAGTCTCCAATTTTTCCATAGTCCAAACTAAACTTATGTAATTATACTCCAGGCAGGGAAGTATAATATGTTTAGTTACAGACTGATGTGTGTTACAAATAGAAAACAATATTGAAAAATAAAAATGTACTTCTCTCCTAAGGAGCAAGGGGGTGATGGTCGAGAGATGTCACACTGAATTACATGAGAGAAATAATTTAGAGGTTTTCCTAGCTTCATGAATTGTTCTATAGAGTGGATGAAGTCTATGGAAAAGTCCTCTTCATATATTTCCATTTATAAGCGTCTCGTTTTTGAAAGTGATCACAGCATGAAAATGACTGTGCTGCTTTTTAGTGTCTGGCTGCATAACGTACAAGTCACAATTTGCTGTTTTTTCAGAAGGAGGAAGGGACCCTCCTTTACTATTCTATATCCTAAAATCTACTTCTAATCAGCTTTATACTGTTGCCTGTACAGCTCAGTGAATGTACTTTCATCTTTAAGAGTTCAGATATATGCCAGTGATATTTTTGCTGTAGAGGAGAAAGTAAAAACTCCACAGCGGGGATCTTTTTCTTTGCTTTTGAAACCACCATTGAATCACTATCGTTTTGCAGACTTTGCACAACTGTACAGGAGAGTGGCCTTTCTACAGCACATTTTCAGTAATCCTATATTTAGTCAAAATGGATGAGAAATCATGTATTAATGTTTGTATGGAATTTTGGGTCCAGTGTAATATTTTTATCATTTAAAAAAAAACTATTTGTAAAAACATTTATTTACTGCATGAATATTGACGCAGATTAAATTTGTGGGATTTTGTATATGTAAAAAACAAAAACAAACAAACAAACAAACAAAAAAACCAACCTCTTGTCCTAAAATGAAGTGTGCTTGTTACAGGTGTTTAGATTTATTGGTGTTTACTAGACCAAATGTGTATGTTCACTTTAAAATATCTGTACCTGATGGATGTGTCAAGTATACAGTGGCCAGGTTTGTGGCCTATAAACAGCAAGCAGTTGATGGGAAGACTAGCTCTGTTGCTACTAAGCAGCTTTTATTTTTTAAAGTCAGCTCTGTTGTTTCAACTGGTAAAAATGAAACAAATGAATTTTACCAGACTCGTGGCTAGCCTAGCATGGAAGAGACCTTTTAACACTATATAATATATGTACATTTTATTGCATTCGTATCAAATCTAGGAGAGAGGCAGCACTGTAAACTGAAGTCAAATAAATTCAGCTCTTAATGAATCCTTATAAAGCACCTACTTTATTCATGCAAAGTTCTCACCATATTTGTGACCTAATCACACAGCCACCACTCCTCACTCCAGTTATGAATTCTAACTTTTCCACCTCATTTAAAGCAGCCAGAAGCAGCACTTGTTCAGTGTATACAAGTATCTTCTCTGAGACCCTGAAAAATCAAACTGATTTCCCATTTGCCTGGCACAAACTTTAAAACTTTAGCTACTCTTTCCTTTCTCTGTGATTCTTTTAGGGAAGTGTGGGGGGCGGGGGACACCAAAAGTAATTATCTTTTACAAATATAGCCTACAGCATATCTGCAGAATGAGCAATTTTTTTTTTTTTTTTTTTTTTTTTGAGTCGGAGTCTCACTCTGTCGCCCAGACTGGAGTGCAGTGGCCGCTTCCGGCCACCGCAGCCTCGACCTGCTGGGCTCCGGCGATCCTTCCGCCTCAGCCTTCCAAGTAGCCGGAATTACAGGCATGCGCTACCACGCCAGGCTGATTTTTTTATTTATTGTAGAGATGAGGTCTCACTGCCCAGGCGGGTCTCGAACCCACGGGCTCAGGCAATTCACTCACCTCAGCCTCCCAAAGACGCGGGATTACAGGCTGAGTCACCGAGCCCAGCTTCAGAATGAGCATTCAAAGAGGATGAAATAAGTAAATTCTGGTTTGGTTTGGTTAGATATTCCACTTAACCAGAGGAGCCTGATTATCATGGCTAAGGCATGGTGAAATATGGTGTAAAACCAATAAAGTCAGGGCAAAGGCAGCCTTAGCAGGTGGGGATTGGTGACAAATTTTTAACCAAGGATACTTACTAGAAAAAAAAGTGCTTAGAGATTCTTTTCCCCTCTCAGTTCCTTAGTTATATCAAACCATCAGAGCAGAACTATAACCATGGCTCTGGTTCATAAAATCATAGTTACAATGAATCATGCCATTTAACCAAGGCACTTTCCCTTCAGTATTTATTCCGAGAATGCGTCTTCTAGGACTTTATTACAGCCTTTATAGCCAACAATTTTGGGGGTTTTGTATATAACTTCCTGTGGTACATTTTTTTGGCACAAAAGTGGTCACTGTTTTGCACCTAGGGAAACTATAAGAGGGAAAATAAGGTCCTTTTATTTGCAAAAGTCTATCTCTGGCACCACTCGAGTCTTTCTAAGCTCTCTGGAGCTGATTCATATATTCTTCTATTTGACCCCCTCCTATCTCCCATTCCCAGCTTAAGGGGAAATTTCCTCTGTGTCCAAGGCATTGTTTGCCTCCTTAACCTTCAGAAGCCACTCTGCTCCCAGTGTCCCATTCTTAGGAAAAGCCCTTCTGTCTGGTCAAGCGCGACTTTCTTCTCTGTTTCGGGGGGTACCTGGACTAACCCATTCAGCCCAGCAGTAAATCAAGCGGTTCTCCAGGTTCTCCCTCCTTCTCCTTGTCCCCATCTTCGGCCAGCTGCAGCACTGCGCACTGCAGGCTGCTCCAGGCCCAGGGCAGCGCGCAGCCAATGTCCTCCCAGCGGTCCAAATCGAGGTCATAGCCCACCACGTTGCGCGTAGGCACCTGGCGCGAGTCCCGCCACTTGAGGCCACCGAGCAGCAGGGCGGTCTCCTCCACCACTGCTAGCCCATAGCAGAACCGGTCGTAGGGCAGCGGCCGCAACCGAGTCCACTGGTCCGCGTCAGGGTCATAGCGCTCGATCTCAGAGAAGGGCTCGTATCGCCCCAGAAAAGCAAATACTGCGCCGCGCAGCACCGCCATGTGGTGCCCAAAGCGGGCCGTGCCCATGGGCGCCCTCTTGCTCCACGCCCGCTCCCCAGCGCCCAGGGCATACAAGTCCCGGAGGCTGCTTGCGCCGCCCTCGCTTCTCCCCGACTTGCCCCCGGAGATGTACACAATACCGCGGTCCCCGACGGCCCCCGCGTGGCCGTGCAGCGCCCGCGGCAGCGATTCGGCCACCATCCAGCGGTCTCGGCGCAGGTCGTACATCTCTACTGAGGCTAGCGCCTCGCCGCCTGCACCCAGGCCCCCGACAGCCAGGAGCCTCTCGCCCACGACGCCACACCAGAAGTGGGCCCGAGCTTCCCGCATGGCGGGCGCCTCTGTCCAAGCGTGGAAGCGCGGATCGAAACGATGCACTTGGGCTGTGACTGCCTGAGGGCCGTCGACCAGGACAGAGGAAGCACTGCCAGAAGGGCTCTTCCCACCCAGAACAAACAGGAAGTTGCCCACAGTACACACGCTGTGCCCCAGCAGCGGTGCAGGCAACTGGGTAAGGCTGTGCCAGCGGTGATTGTACACGTCGAAAGCCACCACGTTCTGCGTGAGCTCCCACTCCTCCTCTTCCTCCTCCTCTAACTCTTCCTCTTCCTCCTCCTCGGGCTCCACTAAGCCGCCCTGGCCCCTAGCTGGCCCCCTCGGGGCAGCGACCTCCTCGGTCACCGCCTTCCGCGCCCTACGCCCCCCGACCAACAAGATGCGGGTCTGGGGACTCCGGACACTGGTCTGCTCGCTTTGCATGAGCGGTTGACGGGAGGGCGCAGTGTGGTAGTTGAGGGCCTGGATGATGAGACCCTTCACCCGGGCGGGTAGCGCAAGACCTGAGCCCGAGTACACGCGCCGCAGCACGTCAGCAGGCACCAGGCCGAAGCGGACACGCTCCAGCAGCACTGTGCAGTGCGCCAAGCGCTCCGCCGCGGGCTCCTGCCGTAGCCAGGCCAGTGCCAGGCTCAGCAGCCGGGCCTCAGACACCTGAGCCACGTCGGAGGCACCCAGTACGGCCCGTAGAGACACGGGGTTGAGTTCTAGAAGTCCCGAGGGGCCCGCGCCCTGTGCCAGCAGCTCCCGCAGGTGGCGCACGATGCAGCGCTCGGCCTCGTCCAGAGTGTGCGCTAAGCCAAAGCGCGCGGCCACGTTGGCGGCAAAGCAGCAATTCTCTGGAGCTAGCTGGCGCTCCAGGTAGCGCCCACACAGTCCCAGGGCCTCGGTGACCTGAAGGTAGCTGGCGGCCTCCAGAGTGTCTTCTACTGTGTCCATGGAGAGCGACAGCCAGGCGGTGTAGATGAAGTCCAGCAGGCGCTGCAGGCCAGCTGCAGACGGCACATGCAGGTGGATCACGCGGGCCCGGGATTCCTGTGTGTGGCTCTTGAACAGAGCCCTGAAGTAGTCGCTGGAACACGCCAGAAGAGACCTGTGCGCCGGGAATTCGCTGCCTTCGGCCTTCAGTGTCACGTCGCACAGGAAGCCCTCGGCACGCAAGGCCTGGTAGCCAGTAAGCAGCGCGCCGCCGTGAGCTTTGCAGTAAGAAAGGAAGTAACTCATTATGCCCAGGGCGGGAAGAGGCTAGGCAGGACCTGGGACCTGCCGGGCTGAACCAGAGTCATCCCAGGGCGCGACACTCCCAGGACCCCCGCTTGAGCCGCAGACCCCCTAGCAGGGGCCCATTTTTGCCTGCTCAGCTTAAAACCTGAGGCTCCTTCATCCAGATCCGCAGACTGCCCTTTGCCCCTCTCAGAGCAAATCCGGTCTGGGAACGTTTTCCAAAAGTCCCTAGTAGCAGAGGGTGCGGAGTTTGGAGGCTTCCGGGAAGTGTAGGGCTTGATTTCCAGGGCTACTGAGGCTGCCAGCGCGTTGCCCAAAGCCCCCTCCCCAGCCCAATGTGGAGAGCCCACACCTGCACGCCAGGGGCGGCGATGGCCGCGCACCATCACCTGGAAGAACTGAGTTACCGGTGGACTCCGAGGGTGCTGGATCTCCGACGGCGCAGAGTTGGGACGTCCTGGGAGTGCGAGGCGAGGGCTCTGACCTCCCGGGGGTGGACGAACAGGACGAGTTCTGCGGGCACCCAAGAGGGCTGGAGACAACTGGTTACGGGACGGGGTGGGGGGGTGAGCTTGTTCCGCGCGGAGGATCAAATCAAAGCCTGGGGGATTAGGAAGGGGAGGGCGTGGGTCAGAGCAGCGGGTCAGAGGCGTGATTGGGCGCTGCACATAACATGCCGGTAGCTCACAGCGACAGGAATAGCGCGCCGCCTCGGCCTCCAGGGCGCGCCCCGCCCTGCACCGGGACTGCTGGCTGCGAACCGAGGGCACAGGCGCGCGAGAAGCGGCCCAGGCCAAGGGCTTGACTCCGGCGACCTGACTGGCCATCAGTTACCGAAGTGTCCCCAGGAACACGACTGGGGACTGGGATGGGGCAGGGGTGGCGGCAGGAGCTCACTGGAAAGGCAGGAGTCCCCCGAGTTCCTGGGCCTGTTGGTGTCCGGGGGGGTGCCTGGCTGGGCCGGAGGAGTGTCGACCTCCCGGTGCCCCTGTGTCTGGGAAGGAAGCCATGGCTCAACTTTCTGCTTTGAAGAGGCTCTAATTAATCCAGCGGGGGAGAGGATTAAGCGGCGACTTTGCGCGCTGACACCCAGTAGGCGGCTGTGAGCGGAGGAGACACTGGCGGGAACCACGCCGGGGAGAATCCCAGGCTCCCTGGCGGCGGTGCTAGGTAACATGTCCCTCACCTGGACTCACCCTTGCTTGATGCTGGGCCTACTCTTGTGCCCTTCCAGAGGTAGCTCGCGTCTCCTGGGCTGGGCTGCTTTATTTCACATTCCACATTGAGGAAATTTACTCCCGCGCTCGTTCCCCGACCCCAGCTGAGTTCTCTCTTCCTGTTCTTGGACCCATCTCTTTGCAACATGGACAAGTACATTGTAGGTAACTTGGATTTTCTGCTGTTGAAAATAATCTCTGCCTTTTAGAAAATAATTCGTTTCCATTTCTCTTGCTAACTTTCCACGCTCTGGATCTAATTGCTGGCTGCTGCAGCCCCAATGCCATGACGAGATAATGGGCAGTAAGGTTGTAAAGCTAGGTAGAGTTTCGTAGGACTCCTCTTCATAGAGCTATTTTCATAAGACACACTCAGCACAGAAGTAATGATGACTAAAACCACCCCGATCTTAGGAAAGCATCTTTCCATCCTACTCTTAAATAACTAAATGATTAATATAACTTGGCTTTTATTTGCCAATTTGGAAACTTCTGTCTGTTTTGCTTTCATCTAGAATAGATTTTTCTGTTTTCTAATGCAACCCTTCCAGCAGTCTGTTTTTGATGAGCCTTTTGAGGACATCTGAAATAATGTGTGTTTCTGACAGTTGGGGTTCTATTTCATAGGGGAAAAAAGTCTAAGAAAGGATTAAAATTCTGTCATTTCCTGTCTGGTATGCCACTGATACTTACAAGGTCTCCAATTAGAAGTAATTCTTTAAGTGCATAAAAGTATTAGTAAAACGATTTTGCTGTCAAACGTGGAACTAACTGTATTATGACTTAAACTAGCCAAATTATAAAATGCAGGCAGAAGCTTCACTTGGGCTTCCTTAAACTCCAGAGTCTAACAATATTCCAATTTGAATTCCTAGTGTTAGAGCTACAGATGGGTTCAGAGGGGGCACTGGTTTTTGTGGGGACTTGGTGGGGGTGAGCATTAAAATTTTTGGTTCACAAGTAAAATGCCAGTTGGGTTCACTTTGCACAAATCTACATTTTGAGTTTAAATGTCCTGTACTCCACCTAATAGAATTTTGCTAGAAGGGATTTTAGAAATCATTTAGTCAAACAGTGTCTCCCTTTTCTCTGAAATCTCGTTTTTCTTTTTAAACAAATGTGTCAAATGAGCCCCAGAGAGAGTACAGTTTGTCTAGATGACTTGGATATTGGTTACCGAGTCTGTACCAGAATCCAGGGCTGCCTCACCACTATATTTTGTGACCTTGTGTATGATAAAAATAAAATAGTGTAACATGCAATCAGTTTATTTAAACCAAATATTCAGTGTGTTAAAGTGCGTTTATCACTTTATCAACTTAAAGCTGCTTAAGTATGGTTTTTTAAACAGCATATTTTTAACCCAGAAACTGGATCGCATCCCAACAGATCTACCCATCACCACACATTCAGATTGAATCTAGAATGTCACACTTACTTGAAAATAAAGATGCCGTAGAAGACTTTAAACTCTTAACATCAAAAATACAGTTTGACCTGTGTGTGTGTTTCTTGCTAGCCCAACATGCTACCTTAAAGTATTTTGCTGTTGAGGAAATGATGAACTGTGTTAACTGGAAACATTTTTATATGAGATGTGTTTATATTGCCTTGTTTACAAAATGTAACTGTCACTCTATCTAAAAAAATCATTGTCCTTTGAGTAATTTTATGGAAAATATCAATATTTTAACTTCTGTGCAATATCAAGTACGCTAAATAAAACTTCAGTGTGTGTTTAAGTTGTTATAGATGTGTGTCTTAAGTTGGCGTCAGTCTATTCAGGCCACTATAACAAAATACCTTAGACTTGGTAATATGTAAACAATAGAAAGTTAATTGCTTATCGTTTTAGAGACTGGGAGGTTCAAGAGCAAGATGCTAGCAGATGTAGTATCTAGTGAAGGCTCTCTGCTTCATAGATCATGCCTTCTCACTGTGTCCTCACTTGGCAGAAGGGATGAGAGTCTAATAAGCCCTCTCAGGCCTCATTTATAAAGACACCACCTCCCAAACGTCACACATTTTTTTTTAAGCAAGATTGATTGAGAGAACAGAAAAGCTCCCACAGTGGAAGGAGACCCAAAGGGGTTGCTCACACACTTCTTAATACTGTCATATTGACAATTAAGTTTTAACATATGAACTTGAGGAAGACATATGTATTCAGACCATAGCAACTGGGTTCCCTAGAAACATGACCTGTGACCCAACCTGAGCAAATGGTGATGGGCAGATATGACAGGATGTGGTCATTATATTGAAAATGGTCTGCTTGTGAGTTGCCCTCCCTCTCCTTGCAGTCAGGACTGTTTCTTGGTCTTTGTATCTGCAACCTCTGTCATGATCTTTCACCATAAGTAACACTGAGTTGAACAGATACAGGGAAGGAGTAAAGGGTTATTAAAAGGAACTTAACTGGGACAGTTACTTCCTTCTCTTTTGTTCTCCTTTACTTCACACAGCTGGGATTTAAGACACATCCGTAAGGCTATGAGCTTACATTCCTAGGAATCAAGTAGATGACCATGGGTGGCCCCCAACAGGAAGACCAGGTGGATTCGATGCCTCTGAGAAAGCATTACTACCTCATCCAGCCCCCAGTGCTGCCCTGAAGTTCCAGTCAACATGTCTCTCAGCATCTAGTCACATATACTGCTACTCTTCCTACCCAGATGCAGGGCCCCAGGTGCCCCAGGTGGACTCCGGCCTCTTGCCCCATTACCCTTTTTAAATCACAGTTTGTATAACTAGGCTTCTGCTGAAGACCCAGCTACTCACCCCTGCATGCAACTTGAGACCCTGCAATTTGCTGTGACCCCCCCCACCCCTCATCAGGACTGTGAACTGCTGTTACTGATCCCTTCCATACATCTGCACATCCTGTGACAGAACTAGGTCTAAAGTCCTCCAAGCACCCACCTCACTTCCCGCATCAGGGCAGCGATGCTGGTCAGCCACAGCCCTCCTCTTTTCCTGAATTGGCTCTACCTAGCTAAATCTAAATTCCAGAGTTCTCGCCTCTAAAATAAGTGTATATGTTTTGTATAATCCAAATTTATGAGCCTCCATGTATAATGGACCCCCTTTTTTCTTAGTTGTGTCTCACTCTGTTACCCAGTTTGGAGTGCAAGTGGCACAATCAAGGCTCACCACAGCCTTGACCTCCTGGGCTTAGGCAATCCTTCTGCCTCAACCTCCCAAGTAGCTGGGACTACAGATGCACACTACCATGCCTGGCTTATTTTTTGATCTTTTGTAGAGACAAGATCTTGCTATGTTGACTAGTCTGGTCTCGAACTCCTGGGCTCAAGCAATCCTCTCCTTGGCCTCTCAAAGTGGTGGGATTACAGTCATGAGCCATCGTGCCCAGCTATATATATATATATATATATTTTTTTTTTTTTTGCAAAGGTGCCATTTTTGGTAATAGCTTTATTAAGATATTCCATATCATACAATTCACCCATTTAAATTGAATACTTCGATGTTTCCTAGTATATTCACAGAATTGTGCAACAAGCAACACAGTCCAATTTTAGAATAGTTTTATCACCTCAAAAAGAAACCTCCTACCTTTTAGCTGTCACCTTCCTATATCTCCAGCCCCCTCAAGCTCTAAGCAACTACTCATCTACTTTCTATCTCTAGAAATTCTCAATATTTCATATACATGAAATTATACAATATGTGGTCTTTTGTGGTTGACTCACTTGGCATAATGTTTTCAAGGTTCATCCATTGCAGTACTGTTGAGGAAGAAAAAGACTTTATGTAATGATAATATTGAAAATCTTTTCTCAAAACAACAAAACTCTAAAATATGCCTGTTCGATATTTAGGATACGGTGTTTTAGTAGGTTAGCATTTTCTTATCTATCATTACAGGCTCTTTTCAATTCAAATATGCTTTCTTTCAACACATGACTTCTGGAAACTTCCATGGAGAGCCTATTATTAGAAATTGACACTTTAAGTTTATTGTGAAAACATAATTACAAACAATAACAGACATGCAGTAGGAAAAAAAAATCCCATGTTACCTTCACCTTCTTCTGAGACCATTTTTTTTTTGAGTATGTGAAATGTATTTTATCTTTGTGACATGCAGTTCAAGCAAAAGGATTTTAAGGGGCAGATTGTGTGTGTGTGTGTGTGTGTGTGTGTGTGTGTGTGTGTGTGTGTTTTAATTATGAGTGATGTTGACTTTCTGACTCTGCTGACAGCACAAGAAGCAGGGTGGTGCGTGAGTGGGGAGGGACTGGGCTTTAGAGTCAGAGAGACCTAAGC